ATACTTTTGATTTTTGAAAAGTATCATTATGTTTATGAATTGGAAATAGTACTGCATGAGCATCTCTGTATTAAGAATTTGTGCATGTTTGTCTATTTACTGTTATTTTGTTAATCCAGTCTGCTGATCTCAATCAGCAACAACAACTTCCTACTACAATACAGCATGATCACATTGCACTTATAGGTGTGTAAAACATAATATCAACACACACAAATTGTAGCTAAACTTTCACACAATAACAAGAAATAAAAAATTGGCATGAGGACATTTTGCATAGAACATTGTAGTGGTGCTTTTCCTGTGCAAAAGTCCCAGCTGTCATGCTAAAGTGTTGATTTGTGGTTGCTAGGGTATTGCCATGTGGTTTCTAAGGTGTTCTTGGTGGTACTAGGGTGTTTAAGGAGGTTCCCAGGGTATGTTTGCTATGTGGTTACAATAGTGTTGTTGATTGTTGCAATGGCATGCTGTGCAGGTAATAATTGTTGCTAGACCTTTGCTATGCTGTTTCTTGGGTATTTTGCTGGTTGCTAAGGTGTTTCTGTGCAGTTTGGCTATCCCAAGTCATAAAAAAGTGTACACCCAAGTCTTAGATATGGCTCAAGTCTACAGAATTGTATCGGCAGGTGAATATTGTAAATCAAATTCTTTAGAAAAGAATGGTTTAAAGGCCCACTGAAGTGCCTTGGAACGCACAGCTTTGTATGATCCGTTGACGTAATTTCCACTGAAACAGGAAGCTAAGGCAGGACATATTTAATGGCTCCTCCCCCTTTACAACTAGCCAATACGCTGATTTCACGCAGCCGCCATTTTGAAATCGCTCCGGTGGGAAGAAAACCGGAAGTGTCGCTTTTAATCATAGGAGAGTCGCGAATGCGATGGCGTATTGTTGTGTTAATGTAGAAATTAGTTATTCTAAAAATGTACATACATTTCTTTCATACTTTAGACTATATACAGTGAAATTAATTTATAAATAAAAAAAAAATTTTATATATAATTCAGAACGTAAAAAAAGAAGCAGGAACGAACTATATACATACCCTATATTGGATATTAACATCCAATAGTGTAAATCGCGGCAGCAGCTTCAGGTTGGTAGTCCAAGGCATTGTTGTCTATCTGTACTTCCGGGGTTCTTCCCACCGGAGCCTCGCTTTCGATTTCAAAATGGCGGCAGCGTGAAATCAGCGTATAGCGTTTAGTTTACATCACAGTATGCATTTCGTACTTGACAGCACCATGGAAGCGAATCTGAGCGCTGATGATGCATTGGATTCAAAAGTAGAGGTGTGAATAAATTCTAGCCATTTCATTCTTAACCAACGTACAGTTTAATTAAAACGGAATAAAACTCAAGCGTTTGAGCAACCGAACACACATCTCCAACCCATATTGCTCCGTGACGTGTCAACGGTAGTGATGTCCGGTTCGTGAACCGGTTCTTTTTAGTGAACCGGTCAAACCAGTTCACCAAATCGAACTGAATCGTTCAAAACAGTTTGCATCACGAGTCAGCGCTGATCCACAGTTTTCTAAAGTTACTCACTTTCGGACGTGCCCTGACAGTCACTCCGACTCGAAATAAACCAATATGTTACTCCGGTAACTCCGACGGTTCATTGAACTGAGACAAGTTGTGCTGAGAGAACTGATGAGCACGAACAGCTGATACTGAGCATGCGTGTACTACCGAATTTCAGTGAGCCTTTAACCCTCTGGGGACCAAGGGTTTTTTGAGGCCCTTGGGATGTTTTGACATGCACTGACATTTGTGCTTTTTTCAGTTATTTATAAACATGTTAATGGCAACGGTGTAAATTCACTCTATATAGCACAAACGGGGCTACCATAATATTTGAGCAACATGTATGTACATGTTTGTATTTTTGAGAGAATATTATTTATGCATGGTTATTGAAAAACTTAAAAATAAAAGTTTCTGAAATAAGGCCACAAAACACATATTGATTATTTCTTCACAAGACTTTTGAAAATTGTATCACATAGCCTAGAATATTTGCTCCAAAACTATGTGAGAATCATCCTGACTACTCATTCAGATAAGTCAATAAAGTCTTTTATAATGTGTATGACGTGTTTAGTGTGAGAAAGCTTTATGCGAGGAGGCGTGATCTCTCATTAATATGTATGGCATTTCACAGCTGAGAAAGACAAAGACCCTCCCATAATGGCCCTATTAGGTGGTATCAGGCCCTTATGAGGAGCCTTGCACAAAGAATGAGGAGATTTAAAAAAGAATGGCTTTTAGATTGTTTGGATTTATTTACAACACAACATAATCCAAAGATACACAACAAAGGACTGGTTTCTGGTTAAAATTGCTTTTTAATTATATATACACTACCGTTCAAAAGATTGGGGTCGGTACGATTTTAAATACTTTTAAAAGAATTCTCTTCTGCTAACCATGGCTGCGCTTATTTGATTAAAAATACAACAAAAATCGGTTATAGTATTAAATATTATTCCAGTGTAAATCAGCTGTTTTCTGTGTGAATATATAGTAAAGTGTAATTTATTCCTGTGATCAAAGCTGAATTTTCAGCATCACCAGTGTCAGTGTCTTCAGTGTCAAATGATCCTTCACAAATCAGTATAATATGAGGATTTGATGCTCAAGAAACATTTATTATCATTATCAATGTTGAAACAGTTGTTGGTCTGTCAGTTGTACAGTTTTTTTTTTTTTTTTGGATTCTTTGATGAATAGGAAGTTCAAAAGACTTTTGTAACATTATAAATGTCTTTACTGTCACTTTCGATCAAATTGATTATTCCTTGATAAATAAAATTATTGATTTCTTTCCTCCAAAAAATAAAAATAAAATTCTCACTGACCCCAAACTTTTGAACGGTAGTGTATATACACACACACTGCTTAGAATAAGTGAAAACACCCATGCTAAAGTTGACTAAAAAGAGGAATAAAAAATCTTAATGCCTTAATTAAAAAAATTAGGAAAACTCTAACCTTTAGGGAAATGAATAATGTCCCTGAATTCTTTGTGAATGAATAATGTATCGCAAATAATTAAATGTTCTTCTTTAAAATACAGGGTGCATACTCTGGACACTTCTATCACACACCCTTCACCATATAGACATGGTTTTATTTCAGTTCAAAGTTAGAGTTGGAAACATCTTGAAAAGAAAATAGTCTTTTTCCATAAATGTCTTAGTTTGATCATACATATTTCAAAGTTGAGGATTCATTATTTTGATATAGCTTGCATTGGAACAAACATCTTAGTTGATTAGTTTATTGACAAAACATAAGCTTATTTGATGTCTTTATTTTGAAGCTTATTTGATTTGAAAAACTTTATCCAAAACTAGTCAAAGAAATGTTCTTTTATTTCGTCTGTAACAGTGCGTATCTGTGCGTTCATTCATTCATTCACACACACACACAGAGAAACATGATTCACAAAAACAGTAGGCTATGCTATTTTTCCGTTTACAGACACTAACGTTATTCTATATCGCGATTAGAACAAAGCACAAAACACTTACACTTCTCAGCTGAATCTGTTGCTCCTCCTCGAAGTGAAAATAAACCAGCCCTTCTGTGGTAAATGTCCCAGGATTATTCCTCATAGCCGCGCAAGACGAATCTTAATCTGACTAAAAAATATTGTGTGTTTACAGCATTTGCCTGGGGGCGTTTATCTATTTTGCAAATGGCCTCAACACATTATCTTATGAATAGCGCGCTCTGCGAGTGGGTGTGAACAAATTAACGATAATGAGCTGAGACAGGAGAAACTGTACTTCTCTTTAGTTTCAGACAGATTACATTGCAGGAGAATATTTGTTTTAAATGTGAATTGTTTTATTTAAAAGTAGAAATTTAAAGCGTTCTTTAGACGTATGTTTCATGTTTGTGTGATAAGTATTAGCGGAGTTTCCGTTCATTTTCCAGACATGTTTCAGAAAGATTTTTGCGGAGACAGAGTGAGCTGAAAGCGCACCCTGTTTATTTTATTTATTAAAAAAAAAAACACTAGGTTTTGATGTTAATGTGAGTGTACATAAAAAAAGAAGACCCTCTATAGTTTATAATCATGTATTGATTTTATTTATATGACCATAAATGACGGAGTATTTTAAGTCTATGTTGCTGCTATGTGAAAAAAAACAGCAAAACGCGCGGGCGTGTTCTTGGTCCCCAGAGGGTTAAGGTATCATACACATTTTATTGAACAAACAGTGAGAAATAAGCTATACGTCCCAAACTTTAATACTTTAAGAGTGGTTAGATCAGCGAAATTTCACAAAGGCAAAAATGGTTCACTGCAGCACAGCTCATACAGGAGTCACTTTCAAACCAAGCCAGTTAATTCACTTGACCAAATTCCTAACTGCGTTGATTGCTATTGAATGACTCAATTTAAGTCACTGAATAACTCTAAATGCGACTGCACCTTTATAAATGTGTCAATTATAGTATCCACAATATTAATGGTGATGCTCACTAAGCATAAAGAAAGAGATATATATAGAGAGAATTATTTACAAATATTGCAAAATCTTATTACTCAAGTATAAGATTTACATTTAGTGTGAAGAAAAAGGCCCATAGTAAAGGCCTGAGAGATGGCGAGAAGAAAGCAGAGAAGTATTAAAGTTGATGTGTTTTTATGAGGTGTAGACTGTACCTTATGGAGCTCTAAACAGGCCCAGCTGTAGCGGGATCTTTTCTGGATCGCACAGAACCCCTGTAGAAACAGATCCACAGAATCATGTGCATGTGTGTACACCCCCTGTTCATTTGCCTTCACATAAACAAACACTGACTCATTTGAAGCCAGGCTAATTTGCTGTTTCATGGCTCATATTTTTCGAAAGTGAGTATATTGGCACAAGTGCTCGCAATGTCTTACTCAGCTACCTGATGTTTTCTGTTTATCATACAAGTAAGTCCCTCTATCTGTTTTTTGTTGACTTTCATTCTTCCTCTCTCTTTTGTCCAGATAACAGGATGATTAAAGTGAACGGGACACGGGAGCCTCTTGAATTTAAATCCTATCAGTGGTTTGGAGCCACAGTCAGGACCCACAAAGGCAAAGTGGTGGTAAGTGATGCTCAGGAACCTAACCCATTTAAAGACCATTTGCAGTCATCCTCATGCTGGACGCATGCTTCCGTGCGTTCATAGATGTGGTTGGAATATAGCTGCCCATCAATGGGGTTAATGTTATTTAATAGCACTGCATTAGTGTTTCATTCATGAATGCATGGGTGCCAGAATCAGAGTTTCATTCATGAATGCATGGGAGTGTTGTTATGTGGAAATGTTTTGATAGGCAATGTGGCTCTGTCCCGTTACTGAGGGGGTTTTGGGAAATGTTGATTTGAGGTTGACCATGCGAAGTGGAGAACTGCTGATGTTTGAAAGAAATAGGCCAGAGTTTTTACATGAGGGGAGGCACTGTGCCCAAATGTGACTATTGTTCTCCAAACGATCAAATACTGAAACATTTAACTCTTTAAAATGTTTTTATTCAGAAAATTACACAAGACAGACTTTTTTTTCTATCTCCAGCTCAGTCCCAAGGACTGTCCCCAGTCCCATTTTTACGTTTGACCTACATCTATCAGGGCTGTTATTTACAGTAACGTGGTGCTTGTGTGTTTCTGTAGGCCTGTGCTCCCCTCTATCACTGGAGGACAGTGAAGGTCAGCAGTGAGATGGATCCAGTGGGAACCTGTTATGTGGCTGTGCAGAACTTCAGTGCCTATGCTGAGTATTCACCTTGTAGAACCAGTGAGTATTTTTCTCACACACACAAAGAGAAGCAAACAATGACACAGAACCAGTGAGCATGCAGTTAACTTTAACTAGAAGCATGTTTTTTAAGCTTTACTAAAGTTTAGATCAGTTTGTTTAGAGCAGAAACACATTCCCATCATGCTTTGCGATAGGGATGCACCACCAAGTCCAATAGTTCTGTTATTACAGTAGTCGACTTGTTGGGTCAGGGTCTACTAAATATGCTTCTGTGCTTGTTCAATAACAATAAGGTGAAATTTCCTGTTCTCATTTGTGTTCCAGTGTAGTGTGCATGTTTAAAAGTTTGGGGTCAGTCTTTTTTCTTTTTTGGGTCGTAAGAAATTAATACATTGATTAATTTGAACAAAAGTGACAGTAAAGACTTTTTACTAAGTCTATTTCAAATAAATGCTGTTCTTTTGAATTTTCTATTCATCAAAGAATTCTGAAAAAAAAATTATCACAAAAATATTAGGCAGCACAACTGTTTTAAACATTGATAATAAGAAATGTTTCTTAAGCAGCAAATCAGAATTAATTCTGCAGGATCATGTGACATTGAAGACTGGAGTAATGCTGAAAATTCAGCTTTGCCATCACAGGAATGAATTTCATTTTAAAATATATTAAAATAAAAAAACTGTTATTTTAAATTGTAGTAATATTTCACATTATTACTGTTTTACTGTATTTTTGGTCAAATAAATGAAGCTTTGATGCATCTGACTGACCCTAAACTTTTGAAAGGTGGAGTAGTTGCATAACAGTTTTGTATAGTAAACTGTAATGGTCAATTATATTTGGAATTATTTAGGACTTAAAATAGCATGAACCCAGAATACTTTTTCACAAAGTACATTATAAGTGTACCGTGCTGGTGCTGCGGACATCTGAGATGGTCTGGGTTCATTTAGCGTATTCATATACAGTACAAGCCAAAATTCTTGCATACCACCCTGAAATGAATCAAGTGCTGCCCAAAGGCTGCCAGAAACTATAGGCCAGTGGAACATGACTGCTTTTGGCAGTGTTCGTTGCAACGCAAATAGCATGAACCTGTGTAATGAAGATATTACTGTACATCTTCCTCAGCTGCACAGATTATGCAGTGCTGGACTTACCAGAAACCGCACCAAGAGTACTGAGTGTTTTGACTGATTTAAGGCCCGGGTATCCTTCATTTTCCACGTTCAGCTCTGTCTCGCGCATAGTTGAGCGCGCAAGCCTTTCAAAGTATTCTCCTTTGGCCGCAAAAATTGGACGTTCGCGGACCCTCCTGATAATGGAAATTATATCACACAGGACAGTGTGCGAAACGTAGACAGCCGATGTATACCCTGGGCTTTACTGTACATATAGTTACATATAACTAGCCGATTAGTTTTCTGGATGACTAGCCGACTAGTAAAAATGAGTAGTTGTGCCAGCCCTGATTTTCACACAGAATAACAGATGCATCTGCTGCTTCTCGGCCTGTGCCCGTTCCTGCCCATTTGTGCCAGTTGGCATGGCAATCATACCCCCTGCTGTAAACAGAATCAAAGGGGAAACTCACATGTTTGTTTTGATGCAATTTCCTGCTTATTTCCTGTACTTTGAGGTCTCATTCACCGTTAAGGGTAGTTGATAAATTTACTCTGATTTTTTTGCCGTCACATCAGATACACACATTTTTTTAAATTTACACACTCACACTGAAACAGTCTGTATTAACAGTTAGTGTAGAGTGAAGTGGTATATTAATAATGATAACTGTGCCTCATCTGTTCAGAGGGAAAGTTATTTTATGGCATATGAGGCCATAATGACTGTGAATTACTTTCCTGACTCTTTGTCAAACATTTTCAAGTGCCAGCCATCTCCCTGGCAGGTCAGCTAGGAGTCCTTGCCAAGGCACAGGGCAGGGACACTCTGCGTTGATATTATCCAGCTTGTGCACGCTATGGACTCGACACACTCATGCATGTGTACACACACACATTTGAAAAGGCCGTGGTGTTGAGTAAGTGAAATACTAGGCAAAGTCTGGTGGAGGAGTGAAAGAAGAGAAACAGAGATGGAATGAGAGAAAGAGTTTATTGTATTCCAGAGAACATGCTGTGGTTGGGATTTGGAAGTGATGTTATGCCTCATTAACTCACCCCACCTACTGTACAACATATTATATCAACACTCACAGGACATAACTTACTGTACATAATATTTCAGCATGTTCCTGGATTAATACCCTTTATTTATTTTTTGGCCTGGAACAACATTCCTATCCTCCAATCAGATTTTAGGGTTAGATTTTGCCTGGAGTTCTTATCAATCAATCATCTTCCTCTGATTTAGATAGAGGTTGGTTATGGTTGGGATTGAGATTAATCGTAGGCTTAGGACCATAGTTGCCACTTCATTTATGAAGAAATTGGGACAATTTGGAAGATTTGCCCAGATGTGTTAAATGAATTGTGATGTTATGAAATGGCAGTGGCTTAGCTCATGAATATGAATAATATTATGCTTAATTACTGAATATTTAGAAAAAAAAGATTAACACATTCAAATTTAGACCTCATATTTACATCTCATTCAAGAATAATAAGAAGTGTAAACTTCTGAACGTTTCATTGCATCCCTTCATCCATTTACATAAATATTTTACATATTTGTCTTTGAAGTGCTGGAACTTTATGTACTCAGGCATATCTTAATGACTTGTTTTACTGAGGTTGCTCTGATCTTTGTAGATAACCCGGACCCCGAGGGCCAGGGCTTCTGCCAGGCGGGCTTCAGTGTTGATTTCACTAAGGTAACAAATCTCCCTCCTTGAACATATCTGTGTATTTCATCTTTATGGTTACTTCCTATGTGACATGATGTCCTTATTTTTTGGTTAAAAAAATAAAAAAATAAAAATGAAATTCATATCACTTTGACCCTTCATCAATCAGGAAGAGAGGGCTGATTCCTTTAGTTCTGCATGCCTTATTTCTTTAATCTCTATTACTCGCTCTTGTGTGTTACATTTATAGCACACATCACTGTTGTAAGTCTCTCAAAAGACTGCTGCACAAGCAAACACACATTTCTACCTCCTCATTTCTACCTTCTCTCCTAGTTCCTCACTCATTTATTTCTCCTCCTTTCAGGACAGGGGACTCTGGTTGTGGGAGGACAGGGAGTTTCTACTGGCAAGGTAACAGACTTCTCCTTATTATTTTCTCATCATTCCATCCTTTTACAGTCTCTCAGAGTGAGATTTGCAGACACAAGTCTCTCATATCCCAAACTCACAGTCTCACAGGAGCCCAAGAATCTTAGCTCCGTCCAACAAACTGACCAGGCTGACCCTTCCTCCACCTTCAGAGCAAAATAACAGACACTCAGACAGATGACACGTCACCTCCCATGAGCCCCGTTAGCAAAATAATCAGGATTATCTCAGTGTTAGCGCTACCATTGTGGAGTCTGTTCAGCCAATCAGAGCTCCGCGTTCCTCAGTGAAGTGTTCTGTCACAGTTCACTCATCACAGATGGGTCAGTGATGGCGGTAATATAGCGGTTGTGATAATAGAAGACTGGTCGAGGTCAATGAGCTGCTCTTTTTGGTCAGTGGCTTTAGTGTTGGCTCACAGTTAGAGCTGTAATCATCGCTTTTAAGCTCCAGTGACTGCAGGGTAATGAACGCCTGCACTTTCTCACTTTTATGCATTCTGCTCAATTAACAATGAAGTGCATTTGATGAGAATGCAGAGATCTGTACACCTGCATTTGTTTAGCAATGTTTATGTTTGGGCTAGAACAGTTTGAGACTCAGCATCAACTCATCTGGCTGATTAACAAGTTGAGTGTATTCAATATCTACATACAGCTTTATTAATGCATTGAATGTGAATTTAGAAAATTATAATTATTTAATTTCTGTATTTTTAAACACTTTAAATCAATAAAATCCTATAGTCTGGACATTTCTATAATGGAAATATTTTTTGTTCCACTCTAATACTAATAATTAACAGCTCTCTCAAGGCAATGTCTATAAAATAATATTTTTTATTTGATCAATTATGTTACAGTCAGTTACTTTTTATCTCTTAATCCTGAATGACCGAATAAGTTA